AGTTCGCCTGTGTTTCTTAATCTCCTGTATGATTCCTTAAGCTTAAGCTTGATGTTTGCCATTTTTCTGACCATTGCCTCCTTTTGTATTTCAAATACAGTGGACCCCCGCATAACGATCACCTCCGAATGCGACCAATTATGTAAGTGTATTTATGTAAGTGCGTTTGTACGTGTATGTTTGGGGGTCTGAAATGGACTAATCTACTTCACAATATTCCTTATGGGAACAAATTCGGTCAGTACTGGCACCTGAACATACTTCTGGATTGAAAAAATATCGTTAACCGGGGGTCCACTGTATACTGGCCCCTTTCAGCAGCTCTGTGATTCTTTGCCTTCATCTGTATAGGGAGCATCTTTCTCTTTCTAGTTTACATCTCTTCTTTTTTCTTATCGGAATGTGCCTTGAGCATACCTCAAGTGCCAGTTAATTTTTTCTAGGCAAAGGTTCAGACCCATGTTGTTTAGGATATCCTCCCAGCTTGTTTCATTTAAGACATGGTTAAGTTGATTCCACTATGTTTTTGTTATTAAAGTTGAATTTGGTGAAGGCACCCTCATAACTGATCATCTTATGCTGTCAGGAGCCCTGCGCATACATGTCTGTACTTCTTTTATGTTATGATCTGATTGTATTTTCTTTGATACTGTTATATTTCGTATCAGACTATCATTTTTAGTGAAGATGAGGTCAAGTGTATTTTCTAGTCTTGTTGGTTCCACTACTTGCTGGCTTAAGGTGAATTTGTTGCAGAAATTTAATAGTTCGCATGTGTGCGTGTGTGTGTGTGTACTCACCTAATTGTGGTTGCAGGGGTTGAGACACAGCTCCTGGCCCCGGCTCTTCACTGATCACTACTAGGTCCTCTCTTTCTCTGCTTCCAGAGCTTTGTCATACCTCATCTTAAAGCTATGTATGCTTCCTCCCTCCACTACATCACTTGTTAGGCTATTCCACTTCCTGACGACTCTATGACTGAAGAAATACTTCCTAACATCCCTATGACTTGTCTGAGTCTTTAGCTTCCAATTGTGACCCCTTGCTTCTGTGTCCCCTCTCTGGAACAACCTGTCTCTGTCTACCTTATCTATTCCATGCGGTATTTTGTACATCGTTATCATGTCTCCCCTGACACGCCTGTCCTCCAATGTCGTCAGTCCAATTTTCCTCAACCTTTCTTCGTAGGGCATACCCCTGAGCTCCAGAACTAGCCTTGTTGCAAATCTTTGCACTTTCTCTAATTTCTTGACGTGTTTGACCAGGTGTGGGTTCCAAACTGGAGATGCATACTCCAGTATGGGCCTGATGTACACAGTGTACAGTGTCTTGAATGATTCCTTACTAAGGTATCGGAATGCTATTTTCAGGTTTGCCAGGCGCCCATATGCTGCAGCAATTATCTGGTTGATGTGTGCCTCCGGAGACATGCTCGGTGTTATGGTCACCCCAAGATCTTTCTCCTTGAGCGAGGTTTGCAGTCCTTGGCCACCTAGTCTATACTCTGTCTGCGGTCTTCTTTGCCCTTCTCTAATCTTCATGACTTTGCACTTGGCAGGGTTGAATTCGAGAAGCCAGTTGCTGGACCAAGTGTCCAGCCTGTCCAGGTATCTTTGAAGTCCTGCTTGGTCCTCATCTGATTTAATTCTCCTCATTAACTTCACATCATCTGCAAACAGGGACACCTCTGAGTCTATCCCTTCCATCATGTCATTCACATATACCAGAAATAGCACTGGTCCTAGGACCGACCCCTGTGGGACCCCGCTCGTCACAGGTGCCCACTGTGATGCCTTATTTGTACTGTTGCCTCCCTGTCAGGTATTCCCTGATCCATTGCAGTGCCCTCCCTCCCTCCCTCCCTCCATGTGTGTGTGTGTGTGTGTGTGTGTGTGTGTGTGTGTGTGTGTGTGTGTGTGTGTGTGTGTGTGTGTGTGTGTGTGTGTGTGTGTGTGTGTGTGTGTGTACTCACCTAATTGTACTCACCTAATTGTGGTTGCAGGGGTCGAGACTCAGCTCCTGGCCCCGCCTCTTCACTGATCGCTACTGGATCCTCTCTCTCTCTGCTTCCTGAGCTTTGTCATACCTCTTCTTAAAACTATGTATGGTTCCTGCCTCCACTACTTCACTAGCTAGGCTATTCCACTTGCTGACACTCTATGACTGAAGAAATACTTCCTAACGTCCTGTGACTCGTCTGAGTCTTCAGCTTCCAGTTGTGACCCCTTGTCCCTGTGTCCCCTCTCTGGAACATCCTATCTCTGTCCACCTTGTCTATTCCCCGCAGTATCTTGTATGTCGTTATCATGTCTCCCCTGACCCTTCTGTCCTCCAGTGTCGTCAGTCCGATTTCCCTTAACCTTTCCTCGTATGACATTCCCTTGAGCTCTGGGACTAGCCTTGTTGCAAACCTTTGTACTTTCTCTAACTTCTTGACGTGCTTGACCAGGTGTGGGTTCCAGACTGGTGCTGCATACTCCAGTATGGGCCTAACATACACAGTGTACAGTGTCTTGAACGATTCCTTATTAAGGTATCGGAACGCTATTCTCAGGTTTGTTGCCTCCCTGTCAGGTATTCTCTGATCCAGGGGTCGAGACTCAGCTCCTGGCCCCGCCTCTTCACTGATCGCTACTGGATCCTCTCTCTCTCTGCTTCCTGAGCTTTGTCATACCTCTTCTTAAAACTGTGTGTGTGTGTGTGTGTGTGTGTGTGTGTGTGTGTGTGTGTGTGTGTGTTTGTGTGTGTGTGTGTGTGTGTGTGTGTGTGTGTGTGTGTGTGTGTGTGTGTGTGTGTGTGTATTTTCATCTGAGCTGCCTCCTGGGGTGACCTCTGGGGTGTTAATGTTGCAGTTTTATAACTGTAGTGTAAGCACGCCTCTGGCAAGGCAGTGATGGAGTGAATGATGGCGAAAGTTTTTCTTTTTCAGGCCACCCTACCTTGGTGGGAAACGGCAGCTGTGTTAATAATAATAAAAAATAATAATCCTCCATTTTAGATGTCTTAAGTTGAAAATCACCCAGCAGAAAGATTTTTGGAACAGGTGTTGGGAGATTTTCCAGACAGTATACCTGGAGTGGTTAATTTTTAAAAGTGGTTCCTGGAATTGTTGGGAAGATGCATCAAGAAGCTTGTATACAACCACACTGACAAGGTTTGGGTTTTCAATCTTTACATTCAAAACTTCAACTACATTATTTGAGGTGTTTAGTAATTCTGAGCAAATAAATGAGCAACTCTGACATACAGGCCAACCCTTCCCCCCTTGTTGCCTGTTTATTGTTGAATCTGAGCCAAGTTATAACCTGGGACCCATGTTTCGTTAACAAAGAGATCCTTCATGTGGGTCTCTGTGAAGGCCACAAATATTGAGTTTGACTCTGTGAGCAGTCCACTGATGAAAGGTATTTTGTTGTTTGTTGATGGCTTTAGACCCTGTATATTTGCAAAGTTAAATGCTGTCATACTGATGGTATGTATGGGGCATTGTTTGCTGGCACAAATATCTGCTGTTCTTTAGTGGAGGCCACTGACTGTGCCTCTACTCCAATAGTGATCCAAGTTGGTGTAAGATTTCTGTCACTTCTTGCAAGCTTTTTTTTTCTTCCTGGCACTAAAAAACCTGTCTCTGGAGTGACTGTAGCTATCCTGGTTTGTTTCCCATGGTCTGAGTGATCTGTATCTTCTTGTGCCCTTTAGATAGTGTGCCTTACAGTATGTTTTGTAGCACTGTCTATCACAGACTGAAGAATAACACATTTCAGGGTGGAATAATTTACAAGAAGAACTGCATTCTCCTTTGGTCATGCAGGCATGGCATTTTTTGGGATGGTCAAAACTGAATGTCCCATCTGTTTTTCCAGATATTCCATGCTTACAGATTTTGTTTCCAAGTTTCTCACTAAATGTTCCAACATTACTCCTTGAAAGATTATAAGGATCAGAATTTTAAAATTATTGGACTGGTCGACCATCACTGATCCAGCAATCACTAATCCGGTTCCATCACTAATCCAGCTCTAATTTCGGCTAGCATAATTTGAAATTTCCCGGGTCACTGCACCAACCTGCCGCTACTGTTTGGTGGCACTACTTACTGCATAAACACTGTTGGCATCACTTGCAAACACAGGCAAGCCATTCCAAATTGTTTTTCTCCATTTATTGTTATAACCTATTGTTAAATCATATAAAAACAATATTTGTATATCATATAAAAACAATATTTGTTATTTATTATCACACTGGCCGATTCCCACCAAGGCGGGGGGCCCAAAAAAGACAAACTTTCACCTCTTCACTCCTCACTGTCTTCCCAGAAGGGTGTTTACAACATTTTAAAACTGCAACTTAACCCCCCCTCCTTCAGGCAGGCACTGTATTCCCATCTCCAGGACTCAAGTCGGCCTCCCGGTTTCCTGAACCCCTTCATAATTTTACTTTGTCACACCCAACGCCGTCAAGTTTAAAAAACCTTTTGTCCCCATTCATCCTATAAAACACGCTAACGCTGCCTGCGGAGCCAAGCCCTGACAAAAAAACCTTTTTTACCCCCTCCCCCCAAACCCTTTTCCCTAGGCCGACCCTACCCCCCTTCCTTCCACACAGACTGATACATCTTGAAGTCACTCTGTTTCGCTCCTTTTTTATTATAAAAACAAAATTTGTTTTTTCATAAAAAAACAGAATCTTTATCCGTAAAAAAAAAAAGTCATAAGTATGGTACATATGGTAGGAGCATATTTAAAATAAATCTTTTACAAAATGTATATTGTGCACATGGTTCAAGCAAACTAAATTTGAATGTTATCTTAAATAGAAAAATGCAGCTAGAAAAAATATTTTGGTCCTTTAGTTTCAACAAAGGTTAACCATATTATACAGGACTAAGAATGAACAGTTTCTTCAGAATTTTTGCATATTTTTTTTATTAACAAGATGGGATGTCATGGAAAAATATTCAGTATTGTATCAATAAATCAAAAGCTATTTTTCAGTACCTTAGCATCTCCTGTGTGGATGTTGAATGCTCTTGTTTGCGTTGTGGCTGGCTGTATTGCTGGTTGTGCTTCCCTCCCCGACCTTTATTAAATGAATGGCTGCGAGAACCACGATCTTGCTGATGCCAACCAAGTGAATTATTTTGTTGATTTTCATAACCATAATTTTGATAATGAAGTGAAAAATTGTGTTGATTTCCATAACCAGAGTGTCGGTTCTGTGACTCACATTTCTTGTAGCCATTATTATATCCACCTTGTCTACTAGTACCATACTGATCATTATATCTGTGGTAATCCTGCTGACCACCGGTTGCATTACTTTTCGCTTAAAATTTTGGTTCTTGCCCCCCTTTTTTTTTTTTTATTTTCCCCAAAAGATTCATTAACTTCGAAAAAACCCCGCTGGCTATGTAACCCATCGTCCCCTTGTGGTTCCTTTTCCCGTTTAAAGCTGCGTGGTATGCATTTGGTTTTATTCTTTTCTTTTTTTTTTTTATTATAATTTGTTGGTTTAGTTTAGAACAATGTGTTCACTTGTGTTTACATTTCTTCTGTAGAAGCCAGTTTTTTCTATTTCCCCAATTTTATTTGTTTAGTTGTTTTGAGAGGGGGTTTTAATGTTTTTAAAATGGGCCAATCGTCACAAACTGTTTTCCCTATCAATATAGGTTTTGGTTCGGTTCTTTGGTTATATTTCACAGATAGGCGGGTGCAGGTGATTTTTTTTCTTAGATTCTACTGTTTTTCTTTACTGATATTGTCAGAGTGCCCCACCGGGACTGAAATTGATTTTTTTATTATTTGATATGTATCTAAATTTTGTTTTTCTTGATATATATTTTGTTGACCCTGAAACTTTTTCACATCTTGGAAGGAGTTTTGCTTATTATCTTGCTCTTGATTATTAAATTCTTTGTCCTCATTTTGGTTATTCAATTTCTTTTCCACATGGTGAAGATTTTGGACAGGGGTAGAATAATTTTTTTGGACAGACATATCATTTAGCTCTTGCACTGATCTATCATTTAGTTTTTGCATTGATCTATCATCATTTTTCATTTGTCTTTCACTTGGTCTTCCTTGACTGACACAAATATATTCTTCATTTGGTTTAATACTGAGGAGTTCACTTTCTTTACCATTAGGATTTTGTTCTTCACTTATTTTAACCATCTGCTCCTCGTTTAGTTTAGATGAAAACTTACACACATCATTAGAATCTACTTCACATTTTTTTAAATTTGCCTTTTTACTTAGCTCAGCATGTAGCTCTTTACTTTTTAAAATATGTTCATTTTCCTTAAGCTGATCACTTTCCCTATCATCAAACTGTATATTTTCTATGACACCAACCTGTTCACTTTGGCCAGCAGTAACATTCACTATAGCATTTAATAGCATTTCCCCTGGCTTATTATGAAGTTGATTATTTGGCCTCTCATCATATGATTTCTTATTCTGAGTTACAACTTTTTTATTTTCTTTTTCATGTTCATCATTACATGTATCTTCTTTTCTTAACTCATCCTCAACCTGGTCTTCACCCTCAGTGTCAGGATATTGTAGACCATTATTTTCATCTTCCTTATCAAGCAGTTTGATTTGCTTTGTTGTAAAACATTCATGATGTCCAGCATTTATCTGTACAGCATTAGGCATTTCATTCTCCTTAACAAGCCGATCAGTTTGCTTTTTTTCAAGACACTTATTTTGTCCAAGATAAGGTTCTTCATTTTCCTTCATGTGCTCTTCTTGAATAGTTTTACAGTATTCCCTCTGTACAGAGTCATGCTCTTTATTTTCTTTAACATGTACTATATTTTGCTCTACCTTTCGTCTAGCCCCAAGTTGTTCATGCGGCTTAACTTCAGTCTCATCCTTCATATCATCTAGCTTTTCATATTTCTGAGCATACTTTTCATTCAGTTTAGGCTTAGGGTATTCATTCTGCATAACCTCAGGCCTGTGATGTTCCTCTGAATGTTTTCCATCTGGCTTAGCTTCAGAGCCTACATGCTTAACACCAGGATGTACATTTTCATTCTGCATACTATCATAATCTTCAGTTTCCTCAACAGATTTTACATTTTGTTTACTTTTAGAATATTCATTCTTTAAATGTTTTTCTCTTTCTTTAATCTGGGTGCATTCATTCTGCATAACATCAAGCTCATCTTCCCTTGAATGTTTTTCATTTAGCCTAGCCTCAGGGCATTCATTTTGTAAATCAAGTTCTACATTTCCCTTGGACTGTTTGTCATTTTGCTCAGCTCCAGAGCATTCATTCTGTATAACAACAGGCTTTACATTTTCCTCAGCAAGTTTTTCATTTTTATCTTCAAGAGATTTGCTATCATAATCATGTTTTTCTTTGTTAAAAAATGTGTCTTCATTAATATCATGCTTCTCATGTTGCTTACTTTTGAACTCTTCATTTTGTTTACCATCACTACTGTTCAGCGAGCAAGAGTCAGAGCATTTATTGGGCATAATTTGAAAATTAACATTTTTGTGATCATACTCTTTATCTTCCATATTTTCAATACCTTCAATATGTATTTTACCATTATCTTTAGTTTCCTTGGAAAGCTGCTTTTTTGGTTCAGTACTAAAACTTTCATTTCTATTCGGTGTAGCATCAAAGGAATCGCTTAGCTTAGCATTACTGTTTCCATCGTCTTCAGTATCAGATCCCTTATTCATCTTAGCATCAACTAGTTCAATTTCCTCAGCATCAAACTGTTCATTTTCTTTTTCAAAACGATGTTCTCCTTTCTTAGCAGGAAGAAATTGAGGCTTTTCTTGATAACTGTCAATCAGAGTTCTGCAGTTTGAATCAATATGCATGTACCCATTAGGCCTGTTGTCTGGAAGACAAATATTCTGTATCTCTGTTTCTTCATAACTTTCCATTTTATTCCAAGTTTGTGGTGCAGTCTCAATATTTTGCAAATTAGTATTTGCATAAAAATCCTGTTCAGTCATATTCCTGTTACTGCTATTTGGAATTTGAGATTTTATCTGAATATTAGTATCCATTACATCACACTGTTTCTGGTTATCACATTCAAGATCAGAGACTTGCTTTGGAATACATCCTCCACTGGCTTGTTCATCCATTTGATTCAAAGTTTGTGGTGCAGTCTCAATATTTTGCAAACTATTTGCATAAAAATCCTGTTCAGTCATATTCCTGTTACTGCTATTTGGAATTTGAGATTTTATCTGAATATTAGTATCCATTATATCACACTGTTTCTGGTTATCACCTTCAAGATCAGAGACTTGCTTTGGAATACATCCTACACTGGCTTGCTTGACATTATTATCACAACTTGCAACCTGACATGGAGCATCTTTTATGGCAGAATTCTTGTGATTATCTGAATGTGAGTTTTGATCACTTGGCTCTGCTTTTCGTGGCTGTCTGACACTCTGTGAATGAGTTTTGTTCCCTGGAGTCTTCTGACCACCTCTACCCCGAGGCTTCTTTTCACTATTCATCCCTCAGGAAATAAAATAAGAATGGCTACCACCAATTTTCTTCTTGTCATACACCTGACAGTAGTTTCTGAGGACAAAGGAAATCTAAGATAAATATTCTTACATTAATGTTTTTTATATAAACATTCATCAACCATATTGTTACATACACAGTTCACAGTTCTACTATTATAATCTATTATTTTTGTTTTCTCTTAGTTCATTATATCTACCATTACCAGCAGACTTTTAATATAATTATCACTTCCAGTACTAAGCAATTTTATTGTGTTCAGTAAACTTCTATACTAAATTTACAACTTTGTCAAACTCTAAAGCTATAACTGCTCAATATTAAACCAACAAATCTGTATCATATTAAGAGTAAACTGTATCTCTGTAATTTAAAAAAAAAATGACTTGTAACAATCCATTAGCTAGTAAGATAAATTAGTTTAGTATCATAATTATTAAGTTTAACATAACACTATTCAAAAGCCTAGTTGTAGAGTCACTCACATTCTTATGATTACAAGCATTGATCCTGATCTCAACCTTTTATTAAATGAATTAAAAGAATCAAACAGCAACTGTAATTACAGCAGACCACACAAAGACATTACTCAGAGCCAACAATAACATAACCATCTTTAACTACAATGTCAGATCTTTGACCAAAGATTATGATGACCTCACAGCATTACTTAATTCCCTTCATACCAGTATGTCAATCATCACACTCACAGAAACCTGGCTAAAGCCTTGTACTACAGATGTCTATGCCATTCCTGGATACACAGTCACTCACAACTGTAGGACAGAACAGCAAGGGGGTGGAACAGCTATATACTACTCAAATCAACTTGAATGTATAAATAATTCTTGCACAAGGGATGAACATGGAGAATATATTATAGCTAAATTTAAAGCACAAGACCTACAAAAACCCCTCACATTGATAAACATCTACCACAGTCAAACATTTACCATTTTAGTGAAAAGTTAAAAAACATGATAACTGATGCACATATGAACAAAGACCACTTGCTGCTCACAGGAGATTTCAACATAAATCTACTAAATGACCAGGACCCACAAGTAACCAAATTCACAAACACTAAGAGCAACTGCTTGTTGCTACCAACAATAACAAAACTTACAAGAATCTCCAAGACTAGTATCTCCTTATTAGACCACATCTGGACTAACACAATATCCCATTTAACCTTTAAACTGTCCTAATGTAGATCTACGTTGACGTGCGTAGTGCTCCAGACGTAGATCTACGTTCGGAGCACTATGCACGTCAACGTAGATCTACAGCTAAGAGACTGAACAGTCCCTAGCTACCACCCAGCATCCTTAAATCAATTAACACAAAGCACCAATATGAAAAATAATACAGAATGGGTTAAATAACTAGAGACCATTCTAAATGTTACTTGTCAATCCTTACCAGCCTGATAAGAAGGTCCAAAAAATTGTATTATGAAAACAGATTACATAACATAAAAGGTGATACGAAAAAGACCGGGAAAACCCTATCCAAAATTCTAGAAACTAAAAAGATATCCAAAAACAAAATAATCAAATTAACAAAATCAGATGAACCCCTACTCCCACCAACTGAAACAGCAAACAGACTCAATGTTTTCTTCTCCACCATAGGAAAGAATCTAGCGAGCAAAATCCCAAGCTCAAACACCCGTCCATCAGACTACCTCAAGGGTACCTACCCGAATACATTTTTTCCTAGCACCAACCAAACAGAAGTCTCGCTCATCATCAACACCCTTAAAAACAAGGCAGGGAACATAAATAACTTACCACCTTTTATGTACAAAAAACCATCTCAAGTACTGTCTCCAATTATTGCAACACTCTTTAACAAATCCATCGAATCCTCCACCTTCCCAGCAATTCTCAAAATAGCGAGGGTCACCCCAATCCACAAAAGAGGTGATCAAACTGACTTGAATAACTATAAACAAATATCTAATCTACCTCTGCTCTCTAAAATCTTAGAAAAATTAATTCAGAGACAGATCTATTCCTACCTCATCTCACACAACATACTAAACCCTTGTCAATTTGGATTCAGGACTAATAAAAGCACAAATGATGCTATAATACACATGCTAGAACTAATATACAGTGCTCTCGAGAAGAAAGAAGTCACGCTGGGAATCTTCATTGATTTACGTAAAGCTTTTGATACAGTCGACCATGATTTGCTGCACATTAAATTAACGCACTATGGTAAAAGAGGGCACTCCCTCAACTACTTAAGTCATACCTTAGTAACGAAGCCAAAAACGTTGTACACAAATGGAGAAAATTTCTTCCACTCAGCCAATCACAGTCGGTGTCCCACTCCTCTTTCTCATTTACATCAATGACACCGAATGCATCACAGCTACTAAAAACCCCATAGTATTTGCAGACGACACAACATACGTCTTCTCTCACACTGTTAATGCTGAATTGCAGAAAATATCTACCTCGATGATGACAAATAAGCTTACCCTCAATACTGACAAAACCTATTTCATTCAGTGTGGAAACAGAGCTGCAAAGCTCACTTAACATAATCCCTAAACAGATCACCCATCACATGACTCACAGATGGAAAATTCCTAGGAATCCACCTTGACAGCAGCCTCAAATTCCAGATACACATACAACAAATTTCTAGGAAAATCTCTAAGACAGTGGGCATACTATCAAAGATACGATACTATGTTCCACAATCAGCTCTCCTTGCACTGTATCACTCATCTACCCTTATCTCACATATGGAATTTTTGTATGGGGATCAACAACATTAAATTACCTAGGACCACTAATAACCCAACAAAAGGCTGCAGTCAAAATGATAACAAATTCCCACTCTGACAACATACTCAACCAATATTCAAAAGTCTAAAACTGCTCACCGTTAAGAACATCCATACTTATTCATGTGCCTACTACATACATAGAACACTACACTCAAACATAAACCCTCCACTCAAACTTCTCCTCACCAGCCTTAACAGGACACACGTCCACAACACAAGACACAGATCTCTTTTTGATTTTACCCCGTGTCTGTATCTCACTATGTAAAAAAAATCAATGCACATAAAAAGGGGCCCCAAAATTTGGAATTCATCACCAGTAAATACTAAAGTAACCAGGTCTGAACACCAGTTTACGACTCTTCTCAAAAACCACCTACATACCCTAAACTAAATACTCAATACTCAATATTTAACTGTACCAAAAAATTATCCAAATCTTAAACTTCAAATCTAGATTCCCAAAGTTCATACATTATTAATCCTACTTTGTAGTATAATACCTACCCAAAAACAATACTGATTTACACCCAAATTTTAGCATTTTTTACACTGTAAACTTTCTTTCAACAATTTACAATGTTATATTCCTTAATTTAAGTTCAATATTATTTAAAGAAATATTGTAATTAGAATAAAACAACTGCTATAAACAAAGATGATGTATAATTTAAACTACGATCAATTTCTTTAGTATTAAGTAGTATGTAAGCCATTAAATTAAGTCTGCCCATAATGCCTAGGCATGATAGTGGCTCTCTTTGTGCTGTTTATTTATTTATTTATTTATTTATTAATGTATTTATTTATTTATTTATTAATTTGAACATGATACAGGGAAGTACAAGGAATACAATTTTTAAAGTGCAGCATGCCAAAGCCCCTTGTATGCAGAGCATTATGGGCAGGCTTAAAGTTAACTTAAGATTAACTAAGCAATGATATATTCAGTGGTACAAAAATTATTGTAAAGAGACAACAATTTAGTACAAATGAGTATTACAAAGACAGGTCATATGGTCATTTACTGTGTTGCTGTGCAATCAGTAGAATGGAGTATTCTGTTGGGTAGTGAAGTTAAATAGTAACAAAGTTTGATTGGGTCACAGGATGACATTTATGAGATACAATAATGAGAAACATTTATGAGATACTTATTCAGTATTTATTTAGTTGTGGGTGAATAAGTGATTTTTGAGAAGAGACTTGAATTTATGAACAGGTAGTGTTTCTTTTATATTCACAGGTAATGAATTCCAGATTTTAGGGCCTTTTATGTGCATTGAGTTTTTGCATAGAGTGAGATGGACACGAGGAACATCAAAGAGTGATCTGTGCCTTGTGTTATGGTCATGTGTTCTGTTGAGGTTGGTAAGGAGATGTTTGAGGGGAGGGTTAATATCAGAGTTAAGTGTTCTATGTATGTAATAGGTGCAGTAATAAGTATGGATGTTTTGTATGGTGAGTAGGTTTAGAGTTTTGAAAATTGGTGGAGTGTGCTGCCAATAGTGGGAATTTGTTATCATTCTAGCTGCAGCCTTTTGTTGGGTAATTAGTGGTCTGAGGTGGTTTATTGTTGTTGAGCCCCATGCACAAATTAAATAGGTGAGATAGGGGTAAATAAGTGAGTGATATAGAGCCAGGAGGGCTGACTGTGGAACATAGTACCGTATCTTCGATAGTATGCTTACTGTCTTGGAATTTTTTTTTTAAATTTGTTGTATATGTGTTTGAAATTTGAGTCTATTATCAAGGTGGATTCCTAAGAATTTTCCATCTGAGTTTTGTGATAGGTGATCAATTTATCATTATGTTAAGAGACACATCTGTAACTCTGTTACCAAACTGAATGAAGTAGATTTTGTCAATGTTTAGAGTAAGTTTGTTGGTCCTCATCCAGGTTGTTATTTTCTGTAATTCCGTATTTACAATACAGTGGACCCCCGCATAGCGATATTAATCCGTGCAAGAGAGCTCATTGTTATGCGAAATTATCGTTATGCGAATGAATTTTCCCCATAAGAAATAATGGAAATCAAATTAATCCGTGCAAGACACCCAAAAGTATGAAAAAAAAAATTTTACCACATGAAATATACATTTTCCTACACACAAACATGCACAATAGTAGAGTAGTACATGCACAATATATATTGTGCATGTACTACTCTACTAAATGAAGAATAAATGACACCTTTATTGAAGATGCAGCAATGACTGATGAGACACTGTGTCCTGGGAGTGCCTTTTCCTCCTGAGTACTGTAGGTCCTGTTTGGCATTTTCTTCCAGAACAGGCCTTATCACACTGTGTATGCCACTACGATTCTTAAATCTCTCAAACCAACCTTTGCTGGCTTTAAATTCACCAATATGAGCACTAGTTCCAGGTATTTTTCCCTGTTCACCTGGGTGTTAGTCGGAGGGTGTGGGTTGCATCCTGGGAGTTTAAGTTAAGGAACCCAATGGAAATAAGTTAGACAGTTTCAATGACACTGACTTTTTTGGGTTTACCCTGGGTGGCAAATCCTCGGGGATTAATTGTTTCTTCGTATTCTCAAATAAGCCACACCAACAATGGTGCTACAGCGCAGCAGCAGCGGGACAGTGCTACAGCAGCAGCAGCAGCTGACAGTGCTACAGCAGCAGCAGACGATGCTACAGCAGCAGCAGGACGATGCTACAGCAGCAGCGGGACGGTACTACAGCAGCAGCAGAGATGCTACAGCAGCAGCAGACGGTTACTACAGCAGCGCAGAGCTGACGGTGGTACGAGCAGCAGCAGCTGCGGTGCTACAGCAGCAGCAGCAGCTGACGGTGGTACAGCAGCAGCAGCAGCTGTACCACCAATAGTAGCGATGGTTGATTGGGGTTTTATTATACAACCTGGCCAGCTCGGAGACACGCACTCCCCTTTCATATTATCAATGATCTTTTTTTCATCTCTATAGTAAATTTTCACCCTTATTGCTGTTTGGGTTGGTACTAGAAGCTTTCTTGGGGCCCATGGTCACTTATTTGCAGATAAATCACCAGAAACACTGTAATAATACGAAATGTTCCGATTGATGCTTGGATGTTACCGCGGAGGCTGGCTGGTAAACAATGCCACCGGCGGAACATGTGAGGCTGGCTAAGGGCGCACATTAGACACGTCTCGGGACGAACAGCGTTGAGCGGGTTTTTTGCGGTATGCGAGGCAAAATCTTGGCGATAAAATGTAGCGGTATGCGGATTTAACGTTATGCAAGGCCAACGGTATGCGGGGGTCCACTGTTATTGGCTAGCATGACTGGGCTCGGGTGAGAGGAAGGACGTATGTAGTGTCATCTGCAAATGTGGGTTTGAGTAGTTGCGATGCATTTGGTAGGTCATTTCGATGCATTTGGTAGGTCATTTATGTATATGAGAAATAGAAGAGGGCCTAGGGGCACTTCCTGTGGGGACACCAACTGTTTAAATTTGGCCCGTGCGGAAGAGGGTTTTCCCCATTTGTGTAAAATATTGGCTTCTGTTGCTGAGGTATGACTTGAGGTAGTTGAGGGAGTGCCCTCTTATGCCATAGTGCGACAATTTTATGTGGAGCAAGTCATGGTTAACTTTATCAAAAGCTTTACATAAGTCAATGAAGATCCCCAGTGGGGGTTGAGTATGTTGTAGGAGATGAGGTAGGAATAGATATGCTTATGAATTAATTTTTCAAAGATTTTAGAGAGAGGGTGTAAGTTGGATATTGGCCTATAGTTATTCAAGTATGTGTGGTCTCCTCCTTTATGGATCGGGGCGACCCTTGCTATTTTGAGAACTGTAGGAAAGGTAGAGGATTCAATGGATTTGTTGAAGAGTGTTGCAATGATTGGTGATAGCACCTGTGACACTTTTTTGTATATAAAGGGTGGTAAGGCATTTATATCTCCTGTCTTGTTTTTTAGTGTGTTGATAATAAGGGAGACTTCAGTTGGGTTAGTCGGAGCTAGGAACAGTGTGTTCGGGTAGTTGCCAGTGAGGTAGTCATTGGGTAGGGTATCTGAGCTTGGGATTTTATTGGCAAGGTTTTTTCCTATAGTGGAGAAGAAATCATTGAGTTTGTTTGCTGTTTCAGTAGGTGGGAGTTGTAGCTCATCTGGTTTTGTTAATTCAATTTCACTATTTCGTGTTATCTTTTTTGTTCCTAGAATTTCTGACAGGATTTTCCAGGTCTTTTTATATCACTCGTAAGTTGGATAATCTGTTCTCATATACAGTTTTTTAGCCCTTCTTATAAGGCTGGTTAGGATTGACGAGTAACGTTTTGTTTGGTCTCTGGTTATGTAGCCCATTCTGTACTGTTTTTCGTATAGGTTTTGTATTTATGGATTTGAGGATGCTGGGTGTTAGCAGGGACTGTTCAGTCTCTTAGCTGTCATCTGTTTAGTTTTTTAAAGGGCAGTGCTTGTTATAGAGGTATTGGGTCTTTTCAGAAAATTATTAATACATTCATCAATATCTGTATAGATTTCTAGCTCAGTGTATCAGTCAATGTTTGTCACTGCTGCTGTGAAGTTATTAATAGCTGCCTCATTGTGAAGCCTGAAAGTGACTTTAGTAGTGTCTAGGGGTAATTTGCCAAGGTTTGTTATGAGGAATGTAGGTAGTGGTCTGTGGTATTATCTGTGATTATGCTGATCTTAAGGGGGATATGGTGTTGGTACAGATGTGGTTAGTAGGGAAACACTAGTCTCTGTAACTCTTGTAGGTTTTGTTACTGTTGGTAGCAACATGCAGTTACTCATTGTGTTTGTGAATTCAGTAACGTGTGGGTCCTGGTCTTGTAGATTTATATTGAAGTCACTGAGAGTAGAAGTTGATCTTTGTTCATGCGTGCATCAGTTATCATACTTCCTAGGTTTTCACTAAAACGGCTAATGTTTGACTGTGGTACTCTGTAGATGTTTATCACTCTGAGAGGTTTTTGAGGTATTTGGATTTGAATTTAGCTATTATATATTCCCATGTTCATCCCTTGTGCAAGTATTATGTGATACATTCTAGTTGGTCTGAGTAGTACATAGCTGTGCCACCCCCTTGTTGATCGGCCTACAGGTGTGTATGGCTGTGTAAACAGGAATGGCATAGCCAGGTTTCGGTGAGAGTAATGATGGACATACTGGCATGCAGGGAATTTAGTAATGCTATGAGGTCATCATAATGTTTGCTGTACCCCATTATTGTAATTTCATAATCTCAATGTAACTTTGCAAAGAAATAAACTGTTTGTTTGTTAGACTGACTGATATCCACACTCTTGACCCATTGTCCAGTGCACATTTCATGAGCATACAACCTGAGCCACTTTGTCCTGTTGTGTACAAACAAAAACTTGTCCGTCAATAACCAAGAGAACATACGAAAACCATGGCAATTTTTTCTCAAACACCTCATTCAAAAACTGATTTATTCGACAAGTAATGCAATCAACAATCGAGGTTCAACTCTGCATGCGTGTGTGTGTGTGTACTCACGTATTTGTGGATGCAGGGGTCAAGCCACAGCTCCTGGCCCCACCTCTTTGCAGGTTGCTACTAGGTCCACCTTCTCCCTGGCCCTGTCTCTTAACTGGCCACTGTTCAGAAAGAAATGAGCTTATACACGATAACCAGTATAGTTTTAGGGATGGGAAATCCTGTGTCACAAACCTACCGGAGTTTTACGACAAGGTTACAGAAGTAAGACAGAAGAGGGAGGGGTGAGTAGATTGCATTTTCTTGGACTATAAGAAGGCTTTCGACACAGTTCTGCACAAGAAATTAGTAAAAAAAAAGCTAGAAAAGCATGCAAGAATAACAGGAAAGGCATGGCAAAGGATCAGGGAATACCTCACAGGCAGGAAATGAGTGATGGTAACAACAAGGTATCAGAGTGGGGCATTTTGATGAATTTGGGTTCCACAAAGGTCAGTCTTAGGGCCAGTGTTGTTTCTGGATAGTGAATGACATGACAAGAGAAAAAAAAGATTCAGAGGTTTTCCCTGTTTGAAAACGATGTGAAGCTTTAAAGCAGACAATTTTAAGCAGAAGAGGATCAGGTAGGACTACAAAGGGATTGGAAAAGGCTGCAAACCTGGTCCAACAAGTATGTAGCTTTTCAAATTAAACCCCACCAAGTGCAATATCATGAAGGGCCTGAGGGAAAGTCATGAAGCTTGGGGAAGGTCGAAGATGCAGATAGGGGTACATGCAATGGGGTTGAAGGCTGCAAACCTCACTACCAAACACATCTCCTGAGATGCACATTAACCAAATAACTGCCATAGCACATGGGCATCTGGCAAACTTTGAGAAAAGTGTTTTGACACCTAAGGAGTCATTCAAGGGCACTGTACCTGTGCAGCACCAGTATAAAAATCCACACCTTGTCAAGCATGTCAAGAAATTAGAGAAAGTGCAAAGGTTTGCACAAGACTAAGTCCCAGAGCTAAGGGGTATGTCCTATGAGAAGAGGTTAAGGGAATCAATCTAACGACACTGGAGGAATAGGCAGGGATATGGAGGACGTGATAACAATGTAAAAAATACTGAAAAAAATTGACAAAGTGGACAGGGACAGAATGTTTCAGAGATCGGACACTGCAACATGGCATCACATCTAGAAGTTGAAAACTAAAACGAGGGACAGGGATGTTAGGGGAAATATTTCTACAGTCACAGAGTTTTTACAAAGTGGAACAATCAGGAGAGTGATGCAGTGGAGGCAGAATCCATAAACAGCTTTAAGAAGAGGTACAAAATTAGCT